CTCAGGGCTGAAGACGCTGCTTCTCGAGGGACACTGATGCGCTTCAGTGATTGGTGGCACTGCTGCGGCACTGTTGGTCAGTATGACCAGATTCTTATTGCACGAGGAAGGGATAAAGTTGACATTGGTTCGTGGACTAGTCCCACTTAGATCATCATCGTCCGTCTCGTCAATGGACGCCAAGGGTGGAACACTCTCGATGGCAATTCGCGGCGACTTGCCAGAGCTCATCTTTGCGGAAAAGCTCGCCGAAAAATGATTTGGGCTGAATGAGGGCACTCGAGGAAGCGAAACAACCGTTAGGCGAATCAATATCAAACTGAGATTTATGGCTGATCGTCAGTGTCGTTGAAGTGGGCAATAAATTCAGCACATTTTGTTTTGCAAAGGGTGTATTTGTTTACTCAGAGGCAAGTGTGGTGATTCATCCAGTCAGCACCCTTCTGCAGAGATTCAGCACTTCAGCACTTCTTCTTCAGATGATGCTGCTTACATAATGCAGTGGCAATGCTTAATCCGTCAGCGAAACACACACACACACACAAAAATTGGCTTTGCCGCTATGTCGTCGGCGAATGCGAATGCGTCTGCTGCAGTAGACGATGTATCGGGTATTATTGGGTGGTTTCACTAATTCAGCCGCTTCTGCGGATGGAAGAGCAATCGCAGATGGGGGTGCCGCAGTGGAACAGGATGGATGCTTTCCAGGCAGTGTCTGTCTCGAGAATGATTGCCAATCGGCGCAGTGAAGACGTGAAGTGGGGGCACTATATAGTGTACAGACACAGTGCGGATACGGTTCAATCAGCTGGCAGCGTCTGCTGCGGCAGTAGGTCCGGACGCGGCAATGGCAAAGTGGAAATTACTGGTGCTGGCAGTGGGTCCTCTTGTGTAGGCTGCACTTCTCACTGCACACTATATCACACTGACTTGTAGCCGGGCTTTGGAAGAGGGGCACACTACTCTCTGACACTGACACAGACAGACATTCCGGTTTGCTGGCCATCATCCACTTGCAAGCATTGTTGTATTCTTGGCCAACAGACTAACGGTGCTGACTGGCTGGCCGCCGTTCAAGGTAAAGTTCCAGTGGTGATGGGGGAACTGAACAAGAGGGAGAGAGACTGCTGAAAAGAGGTGCTTATTACTACTATACAGGTTAATCATTCATGTGTCAGGCTTCAATGGAGACGCTCGGTGCCAGGTAGATTTTGTTGCCGCCACTGCCATTGCCAGCCTATTTCGAACGTGGCGGTGAAAACCTACAGCGCCGAGAACTATACACTCTCATGATTGCGGTAATCGGAAACGATTTTACCAAAAATAATGGAGATTTTCAAAAAAATAGTGTTGCTTTTGCCATGTTCGAAAAAAAGACGCGCAAACAATGCGAGTGTAGAGAAAGAAATACAGCTGTAATAACCAAATGACAAACCACTTTTGATCTCATGATGGCCACTTCTCCCAAACTGCCCAGTGATGTAAAGGATTTGTTGATGACTCAAAACTTTAAATTCTTCACCAATCAGACGATCAGTGTGTTCACTTCGCGTACAGCCACCGTTCATCGACTATGCGGAAGCACCTTGCACTCAAAGTCATCAGTGGGCAAGGTGATTCAGATTTACATGAAGCAAACTGATGCCTACCCCAAAGAGCGCTACTTGGACGGCATTATCGAGGTGTTGAAGAAGCTGCCCAAGCACCCGTCGCTCGTGGAGGTGTACCGCGCGATTCACCGGAAGAGCTTGCCCGTTCCCTCTGCTGCGAACACTGTCAAATCACAGCTTTTCCTCGTCAGCGAGTTCTGCCCGGGAGGAAGTCTGCAGGAGTTGCTCTTGGAGGAGCAGACAGCGCCCCTCTCTGAGGACTACATTCGATCGGTGTACTGTCAGGTGGGCAGTGCTCTGCTCTTCCTCCACTCACTGCAGCTGGCTCACCGCAACCTCAAGTGCAGCAAGGTGCTCTTCGCTGATGAGGCTCGTACGGTGGTCAAGCTGGCCGACGGTGCCATCATTCGCTCCTGCTGGCCCTACCAGCCCCGGCAGCCACTGCTCCAGGTGCCCTCCTTCTGCGCCAGTGCGGCCTTCGTCGCCCCCGAGGTGCTGGCGCAGGAGATGGGCGCCGCCGTGAAGCGTCCCTACAACGCCTTTCGAGCATCGGTGTACAGTCTCGGGGTCATTCTCTACGCCACTGCTCACTCTGGACGGCTGCCCTTTCAAGAGTGGAGCCTTCGAATGCTGGTGGAACGTCAACAGGCTAGCTCGTACGAGCTTCATCGAGAGCGACTCTCCTCTGGACTGGCCCAATTGATCACCGATCTTCTCAAGCCAGATCCAGAGAAACGACTCGATATTAGCAAGCTGTTGAAGAGTCCGTGGTGCTACGGTGCCGCTGAGGAAGCACTTACTGATGAGTAAAAAGTGCACGATAACTTTTGTTTATCAAATAAACATCACAGAAAGTCTTTGCTGCATTTTCTAGTTAAAGTCAATAAAGATTCGATTGCTGATGTCATCGATCATCCAGTTGACTGACTCGATAATGTTTTCACCGCTTATAGCACTGCAAGGAAATATTTTCCAATGGTGGGATTTGATCTTATCCAGTTCGAGGTACTCTGCAATCTCCTCTGAAGTGAGAGAGTTCTGAATGTCTTGTTTGTTTGCAAGAATAAGTAATGTGGCTCCAAGAAGACGCTCTTCACCGAGAACTTGCTGCAACTGCATCTTACAGTCTAAAAGGCGAAGTTTGTCGCAACTATCGACGACAAAGACAAGGCCATCTGTGTCTTCGTAATAGTTTTTCCAGTAGGCTCGCAATGATTTCTGCCCTCCGACGTCCCAAACGTTGAGAATGTAACTGAATCAAGCCAAAAATGTCAGTCACAGGTACAACATGAACGAGAGATTCAGGCACTTACTCTTTATAGGCAAAAGAGGTTATCGTGAAGCCAAGAGTGGGTGAAATTGAATTGACATCTTCATTTTTCAATTTTTTAAGCACTGTCGTCTTGCCGGCATTATCAAGTCCTCTAAAGAATAGATGACGAGTTATTGATAAATGAATCAACGAGTGATGTACTTACAAGAACAGAACCCGGACTTCTCTTTCTTTTTGTTTGACTTTCTTGATAATGGATAAGAGGACCATCTTTACCAGGAGATAAAGATTTGTTTATAAAAATATGGATATCACGACGAGAATGTCAAAATTACGTCATCAACGAATGGGACGCGCGCCACCACACGGAGCCTCAACTTTCAGCAGCTCAACTTTCACAAGCTCATGTTTCATTTTTTATTGTTTACAATCGGGCCTTAATCCTAGGACCTAGGGCCAATGTTCTAGTAGAAATAAAATGTTTGACCTCGAACCAACAACTAGCAAGGAATCAACAAAAATGGTAAGGCGATCAAATTCTACAAGCTTCTTGGCACTAATCACTAGTGAACAATAGATACAAATCGTCGAAGGATGTAAAATGCCGGTCCGGATGAGAACTTCTGAAGAATGGCGTAAGTGCCTTGTCAATCACTTTTGAGACAGTTTTATTAAATGCCACTCTTTTTTGTAGATCTAGCCGAAATACTGAGCATAAAGAACAAAAATGGAGAGCGGCTTTACTACATACACTACATTGACTTTAACAAGCGACTCGATGAATGGGTTACTGAAAATAGACTAGATTTACAACACATTCAGTTTCCAAAGCGAGACAAATCGAATATTTCCAAAAATGGCTCTCTTTCTCGTCCTTCTTCCCCTGAACCTCGCTTCGATTCAGTCTATCAAACGATATCAGTAAGTTGAAAATGAAGCGCCATTTTCTCTCGACTTTACACATAAACGCTCACTGTACAAAGCCTGCTGTACTGTGAAGTGGAACTTTAGTGCTCACTGCAAGCAAAAGTTGGCGCTATAGTTTTAAAATGTTATTTTTTTGCAGATAAAAACCGAGAGAGACGACAACATAACTGAAATTGATTATCAAAAAGCCACACAAAATAATCGAAAAAGAAAATTTGGTAATTTCCAACATTTTGTCTCTTTTTTCCCAAGATTAACAATTTTAATTTTAGATACCATCAATTCAATTGGGAAAAATGATGACCAGGATTCTCAAGAGGGGGCAATCAACCTTCCGAAAGGCGCCAGTGGTGCTGTCATGGCTCCCAGTACCAGTGGCAGTCTTTCAATCAACAACCATGACGATGCCATCACTCGAATTAAGAACATTGAAATGATTGAGATGGGTCGTCATCGAATTAAGCCTTGGTACTTTTCTCCGTATCCAAGTGAACTCGTTGATGAGCCGTGCATCTTCCTGTGCGAGTTTTGCCTGAAATACTGCAAATCTCGAACCTGTTTGAAAAGTCACAATCGAAAGTGTCTCTTCAAGTATCCACCCGGTAATGAAGTGTACCGAAAAAAGTACTCCTCGCAAACGTTGTCATTCTTTGAGATTGACGGACGCAAGAACAAATCCTACTCTCAAAATCTGTGTCTTTTAGCCAAGTGTTTTCTTGACCATAAAACTCTATACTACGACACAGATCCTTTTCTTTTCTATGTGCTCACTGAAAATGATGACCATGGTTTTCATATCGTGGGGTACTTTTCAAAAGAAAAGGAATCCTCTGAAGACTACAATGTCGCTTGCATTCTCACTTTGCCGCCTTATCAAAGAAAAGGGTACGGCAAACTGTTGATTGAGTTCAGCTATGAACTTTCAAAGGCTGAACTAAAAGCCGGAAGTCCCGAGAAACCGCTCAGTGATCTTGGTCTTCTCTCCTATCGATCTTACTGGTCAGAAACTATTCTGGAGCTTCTCATCAATTTAAAACCCGGAGAAAATCACGAAAAGCCCCAGATAACCATCAGCGAGGTAGCTGAAAGTACGAGCATCAAGAGAGACGATGTTGTTTCGACGCTGCAATCATTGAACTTGATCAACTACTACAAAGGCCAATATATCATTAATTTGACAGAGGAGACTCTGAATAATTTCGAAAAGATGAATGAGAAGCGGAAGATTCGCATCGATCCTAAAGAGCTCAAGTGGACGCCCAAAGACTGGTCGAAACGTGGCAAATGGTGAGTGAACCCAATTTCCTCTCCAATGCGCCAATCTTTAGGTTTTAAATAACATTGCTTTAACATTTTCATCTCAACTGCCAATGCTTCTCTTTATTGTTTGCTCACTGTTGCCTTTACCTCACTGCCGCCCTACTGCTCTGCTTCCATTTATCACTTTACAAAAATAATCCTGTTTCAGATAAAAGTGTTGTGAATGTGCTTCGTTTTGTAAACCTTTGCTACTCGTGGTCGATTAGCGCCCGTGATTGTTTTCGATGCATCAGTAGTGGGTTGTTGTCGAAATGGCCACACTAGTCCTTTTCCACTGCGGTATCGCTGGAATATCTTTCGCAGTACCAGCTCAGCAATGTCGTACGTTTTTACCAGTGAAAACCCTAGATAACTACTTAGCAGTCCTCCGAAATACGAGGAAAACTCTACAAACTATTGGAGAAATAAAAAAATGAATTTGTGAGTCGAGTTTTTATGCTGTAAAATAAAATGATCGAATTAAATTACCGCGTATTTGGGCTCATATTTCAGTGTGACTTGTTCGGCAGACCAGAATCGAAGTGAAACTATGGAGCAGCACTGCCTAAACTCTTTGTTGTACTTTGTGCTGTGATCCTGTGTAAATGAACGTGTGTGAAGCTGATGTAAGCTGAGCTGCCTCTTTTTCCCCCACTTACCATTCTCTCATTTGATGGCCACACAAAGCTTTGTCGCAGTGTCGTGTACTTGTCAACCCTGTGAATTAGGCACGTTAGGTTACTGCATGTTGGATTTCATGAACAACTGAGACACACTTACTCGCACTGAATTTTGCACTGCTGACTGCAGGAGGGCTCAAAGCTGCTGAAGCAGTGGCGAAACCAGTTGGTGTTGTTGGCCAGCGTGGACACGTTGGAGTGGACGTTGACGCCGTCCCTCCAGCTGCACCACTTCAGACTGTGCTCGGTGCTGTTGCTGAGGACGTAGGGCAGTTCGGGTGGCCAGCAGCCGCACTGCTGCACCGTCTTGCTGGCCAGGCAGTCGAAGATGCAGCTCTCGCGGCTGAGCACACTGGCCATGTAGTGGCCCTGCTTGCCCGTACTGTTCCCGGCGGCTGTTGCGGCCAGGTCGTAGCGCACGCAGTCCGTCTCGTAGGGGTGCGGCAGGTACTTGTCGGTCTCCTTTGTCACGTAGAACTCGTAGAAGAAGCCGGGGTAGATGAGGTAGCTGCGCTGTCGAATGGCGGGCATCTCATTCTCGTCGTGCACCAGTATCTGCCCCACCACCTTGTCGTTGAGTGTGGTGTAGTCGCGAATGCTAAAGTTGACCATCATGCGGAAGATTTCGTTCGGGTGAAAGGGCTGCTCGGAGATTTCCAGGTTCAGCGAGTCGCTCGATCCGCTCGATCCATGAATGACGGGCGACTGACCCAGTCCTGACTTGACGGCGATGGTCTTCAGGAAGTCATTGCCCACATTATCCGAACGACTGAATATGGTGAAGCAGTTGCCTTCCTCCTGGGCGCTCTCGATGATGTTGGCGTACTTTCTGGGGAGAGCCACTGACGGGTTAGCTTTCTTTCTCGCGGTTAGTTTACCCATTCTCCAGCACACTTACAGGCACTTGTTGTTTAGGTTGTAGGGATCGGTGGCGCACTTGAAGTGGTCGGGGGGAATGAGATCGGTCCAGTTGAGGCCCAGTGTGGCAAAGTCGTTCACCGACAGGGTGTCCATTAGGTTGCGCACCGTCTGGTCGAGCAGGTGTTGTACGGCCTAGGCAGACATTACCATTAGCAGGCATTGTCTTCGGCATCATCTAGAACCTTACCAATTTCGTCTGACTGACTTGCACTCGCTTCCTCAGCCTGGCCACTAGTTCATCCCATCGACTGGCAAATGCCGGATCAAAGGCCTTCAGCTTGGAGAGCATTATGCGATTGTTGTTGCAGATGGTCATTGCCGGCAGCGTCAGCGTGTCCATCACCTCGACGGTGGATGTGACCGTGCTGGGGAAGGAGAAGTAGATCTTCAGAATGGAGGCACACTGGTAGAGACAGCCGACTGCACAGCTGGCATACGCCACTGTCTTCAGCACATGGTGGACTACTCGAAGCCAGTGCATGATCACCACTGACCGACTGGTGAGTCCGGCTAGGATCACCACTCAGGCGGTCTTCACTCAGCTTCAAAGAATCAGGTGGTGTTATTATTTTATATTAACAAAAAAGAAGATAAATCAATACAAAGGCAGTAAATGGTTAACAAGAGTTCATTGATTGGCGCACAACATACTCTGTGCGTCTTCGATGGGGACATGCCAGGGGGCCAGTGGGTAAATGGTTTTGTCCTGCATGACCAGTCAACTGAAAACAATGAAACATGAGAGTGGCAAATGAAAGAAGGCTATCGTTTTGGGTAAACATGTTTAGAAGGAGGTTAGTGAAAGTAGAGGGGGTGAAAGTTTGTGGTTTATGTGTTGTGTGTTTGGGCGTTTGGTCGCAAACTATTGATGTGACCGACATACAATTGGCACAGTGGGTGGCACTTGGGACGATGGTTTATGGCGGTGGTAGTGGTTATGGGGCACATTTAGAAAATCGATTTGGTCGAAATTAAATGCTCAGTGTACTTCTTTTTGAGGCGCTTCTTGAACTCTACGGGAAACTTTTCGTAGCACTTCTTACAGCACGGTCTCATGTCGACATCGTAGAACTTTGACTTCTCCGTCAGCTTACTGTCGCAGAAGGAGCAGGCAAAGTGATCTGGGCACCAGGCCTTGTTCAGGGCGGTGATCGTGTCGCCGATGATGACTTTGTTGCAGACGAAGCACACATTGCCAAACAGCTGGTGGTAGTGCGTCTCGCAGTACGCCAGACCCTAGAGGGGAGGGGAGGGGGCATTGTTAGATAAAGCTAGTCGAACTGGGCACTGCCCTTACCTTCTTTTCGTAGTGCTTGTGGCCGAAGAAGGGCTTCTCGCACTTGGCGCACACAAAGTGCTCCACATGCCACTGCTTGCCCAGCGCAGTGACCACTCGCTCCTCGATTGGTCTTCGGCAGGCGCCACAGATGGGGATGCCCATTTTGTCGTGGCAGCGCAGGCAGTACAGCTCGCCCTTGATCTCGCGAGCGCTGGACGTCAACTCGACGCCGCACGTCTTGCAGTTGAAGTGATACGGGTGGTAGGCCTCGCCCTGTGTTTGCCGAAACATAAACAACGGGTGTTAGGGGGAATACTAAAATAGAACAGAAGGGAGGGTACCTTAAACTTGAGCGGTGAGCCATCGTCGATGACGGCACGGCATTTGAAGCAGATGTACTTGCCCACTGCCGCTGCCTTCTCCTTCTCATTGCACGAATTGCACAGGGCCCGACCGGCGTTCTTGAAGAAGCCCTTGTCGGTGAGCACGTCTTGGCACAGCTCGCACTTGAAACAGCCCGGGTGCCAGTTGGAGTTCATCGCCTTGATGACACGCCCTGTTGGTGGAGTGACGAGGGTTAGGAGGAAATGCGTGCATTTTGTTTCACCGGACTAAAGCTAGTCCCTACTTACCAATGATGAACTCACTGCATTTGACGCAGCAGGGCGCAAAAAGGACATGAAAGTCATGTTCGCAGTACTTGCGGCCCTCAAACTCGTAGAAGATGGCATCCTTGGTGAATGGACGGAAGCACTGGGCGCAGACAAAGCAGTGCTGGTGCCAGACTTCGCCGCCTGCAGAGAGATAGTGATTAGTGAGACTGGTTCGATGGTGCATTTCGAAAGGGATAGTTTCCAGGAGGGGATGAGTCACAGTTGTTGCACGTACCTGCATTGACAATCTTTTCCCGCTCTTCGAAGCCTTCTTCGCACCGTGAACAAGTCATCGAGTTGGACATGACTGATGTGGATCTGACTGGCTATATTCACGAAAGTGCACTGTGTGTCCACTTGGGTCCACCGAGAATGGCCACCTGAAGCGGTGGGTGCCGGGCTGTGTGCTGTTTTCTGTGCCTGGTTCCGGGTCGGTGGCTCGTCCGAGTGGCACACTGTGGATGGCTGAAAGCGGTGGGGATGTCTGCCGAGTCGGGTAATTCGCCTGATGCGATCTGTGCTCCTCTGCGCTCTCGGTGTTTGCATTGGCGGCAATACAGTGCCTGACGATTTGGCTGTGAGCCTGCTGCAACCACAGAGAGCAGTAGTGAAAGCACCCACACAATTTCAGTCATTCCATAATAGGAAAAGGGCACAGCCACAGCCAACACACAAACAGTCTCTCTCTGCCTAGTGCAGCTTCCACTGGAGCCTCTACTGCTTCGGCGACACCAGTAATAGAAAGCCTACACACACCAGACCATCAACAGCAGCCACTACCGATGATCACTGTGCGCTTGTGTGCTGCTGTACTGTTGCTTTCAGGCGAGAAAAACACACATTGCCGCTTCCACCAGCTTCCACTGCTGCGGCACTTCTCTGGCGGATCTAACTGACGTGGGACGATGCTGGAAGAGAAGAGGAGACACAGTGGCCTCACTGCTCTCGCTGGAGTTGTCCCACTTTAGCGAAAGTCGTCTTGATGTGGTGATTTTCTCAATGAATGAAAGTCATACAGTAACTACCACTTCTTTATGAGACTGATATTTGCATTTGATGGAGAGACGAATGGACCGGATGAGTTTGTCGAAAATGGCATTGCTGAAAATAAGAAAATAGGAAAGTAGCCAGTGCAAACGCGATTTAAAAAGTCGTTCAGTTGAAAGAAGTCTTCGTTTTTGAGTAGAGAACTCCCACAACGGAATTTAGAAGGCTCGTTGCAAGGTCGCAGAATATTCCTGAAATTAAAAAACCATCACGATATGCCAAAATAAGCCATTGAAAAAGGTCAGCAGAATAGTCTTTAGTTGATGTTTTGTGAGATCAGGTTCTCTCGGCCCAAAGAATGAGCAAGGTGCTCAACAATTAGCCTCAGACTCAGCTGACTAAGACCGAACGGCAACGATTTGCACTGGATATAAACAAATCGACAGCTGTGATCAACAGCGCACACTCATTTACTCCTTCTCACCGCATCGTTCTCTCATGCAATGTAGATTCTCTCTTTCGGAGTAAGAGCAACGGGCCAGGTAAGCTTTGACAGTATAACGCAGTGCTGCCCTCTGTAACACTATGAGACGATATCTAGCCCGTCGTTTATACTTGGAAAGCTCCAAAGTAACTATCAACATTATTTTTTTCCTGATAGATTTTTTGCAACATCATCGTCGCTGCTTGTTTTGTAATAAAAACCCCATCTCCACTGCCTCAAACACGCACAACTTTTTGCACAATTCTTTTATCGCCGGTTGATATCGGCCACAGCTCAAGATGGAAGTGGATGTATCTTCAGAGTCTGGCTCTGAGGGCGATTTCCTTGATTCGGATGCACTTGAAGTCCCCAATGATCATCATATGCTGCAAAAAGTTAACAAGCTTGAAGAATATCTGCCTTTTACTGAAGAAATTCGACAAAATCGACAGGCATTTTTGCTGAATTTGAAAAACAATGCACTCAAAGCCGTCCTTGAACAGGGAGAGAGTTTGAATAACTGGATGTTTGCATTTGACCAGTGAGTACCGGCTTTTTGTATAAACAAGCAACTTTTTCATGTTTTCATTTTACAGTTACCTAACTGCCTTTGGTTATGCCTTTACTAAAGACGAGCATATCATTTTTGTGAAGATCTGTCTTCAGGCACTGGACTCAATCGCAGATAATATTCCAGTTTCTCTGAATCTTCTCAAATTGACAACCCGGTTATTGGCGTAAGTTGAGCTCTTTCGTATATAATATTGGTTTTTCATATAAAACTGGTTCATCAACAGGAAAACATATCTTCTTTCTCGAAAAGACATAATCATTGATTGGCGCCTTATTTATCGCCTTTTTGAGCGGACTGTCTACTCGCCGCATAATACTGCAAAGACGCTGTCTTGCGGCTATAGATTTGAAGATCAACTTAGAAAACTATTAAACAATGCCAGAGTGTACTTTTCAGTTGAATCAACTGCGGAAATTTTTTCTGAATGGCGTCAGTATCTTTGCATTTACAGTAGCAAATTTAGCAGAGCAGCCAGTGTTTTGGCAAACTTTCTGCCTACTCTTCTCTACCCTGAAGAACATCAGTACGGTTACCAGTTGTGGTTCCAGGAGTTTATGGAACTCTGGATTTCATTGCCAGAAAATGGGAAAAACATCACATCTCACAACTGCTTTGTCAAGCTATTCTCCCGTTTGGCTAAAGATGCAAAAGGGTAAGTGTGTTTGTGAATTGTTCAAGTTTTAAAAAACTGACAGTGTTTTATGTGCACAGCTTCATCGACTGGGATCCCTACTTGCCGGTGGTTTTTGAGCGCTTTAAGGGCCTTTTTCGCGTTGATACCTACAGTTATGGCAATGACGAAGTCATCAAACTGTACATTCAGTGGATTGTGTACTCCATCTTTGACGCTTCCAAAGCACTTGACAACCTTCAGCAGTTTTTCCGCTTGAGAAGTGTACACTTTTTTATATCAAAAGAGAAATCTAATTCTCAGTTTCAAAAGGTTGTCGATGTGGCGGTGAAAGCATTAACCAACCGACTTCGTTCAGAGCGCTACAAAAGAAACTGGTTCAATTTTGCACTACCAGCAAGCAACCTCAACAATCGCCTTGTTAACGAGTTTGCCAAAATAATGATGACCACAGTGGAGAAGATTGGCTTTAAAGATTTTGATCTGGAAAACTTGTACAATCTTTGCAATATTTCGGCGCCCATTCTTTCTGGACAAGTCATCCAAAAGTTAGATCTTGCTTACGAGCAGATTTGCGAGCCTAAACGGCTGACCACTGCACTTCAGATGTTTTCAATGTCGCTGCTCCCAATTCTGACCAATGAGATGACCGCTGCTCAGTATCGACTAAACGTTCTGCCCATCCTGACGAGTCTGGCGTCCAATATCAACACGTATGATGAGAACTTGGCCTTCCTCCAGCTCTTGTCAATTCGATCAATTCTCGTTCTCGGCCTGCCACTTGTTGACTGCTCTCACCTTACCGAGACAGCTGATGGCAGTGTGAATGATTCTGCGAAGCAGTTACTACTCGACACACGACAACTGGATGAGTTTGCGCACGAATTTCTCCGCTGTTGCTTTACCATCATCGAGTCCAACAATGAGGACCTGTTGAAGATGTCAAAGAGTCACTTTAGCGTTAAAACTCTGTTGCATGAATCGCTGCTCTACGTACTGGCAAACTCCTCACCGGCAACCACAAAGGCCATTCTCGATAAACTTTTCAACTACGCTAACAGCCATATAATTGAAAACAAAAAAGCCGCAGAAGTGTTGGGGCAGCTCCTTCAGGCGGCCTTTACCGTCAATGCTCAGTATTCGATGGAACGATTCTTCAGCGTTGTCGTGGAGAATACACTGGCAACAATTGGAAACAAGACGAAGATTGCAGACATTTGCAAGACAGAGTTGGCGTACAATCTCAAACTTCTTAAAATCTGCTACTTAGTTAATGATGGCAAAGTCCTTCTAGCACAAGAGGCAAAGATTGTTCAAGTACTGGAGGCGATTATGAACATTCAGTTTGAAGACACTTTTGGCAGCATGAAGAATTGGAATCTGCTGGGATGTTTGTTTACCAGTTTACTTGAAGTTGGTCTAGTTAGTCGAGTGCTTCCCATTTCAACGGACGACATTCAACAGCTGACCGTAAGTAGTTTTCTACATTACGGTAAAAAATCTTATTTATTGTTTTTTATTAGAATTGGCCTAAAACGTACGCTTTGAAAGATATGCCATTTGAGTGGCACGTACCGAAAGAAAACGAACTTGCTTTTGCCCAGCGACTCTTTAAGAAGTTCATTGAGCCGGAAATAAGTCGACTTGACAAATGGGCAGACTCCAAATTGGAGTTAAGCAAAGAACAACTAGAACAAAGTTTAGACATCGTCAGCGACTTTGCTTCTTTGAAGTGCTTTCCCAGCTTTTCTGGAGGAGACGACTGCTCGCCATACCTGCAGAATGACATTTGTGCGACGAACCTCTTTCCCGGCAGTTCCATTCGCGATGACCTGATGACGCTGATGGGAAGAGTGCTGAAGCGTCTGCTCACCACAACCGACACATCATCTTTGCTTACCCTGGTGCAATACACAGTCAGTTCACTGGCTATTCCCTACAACTACATGCCATCCTTTTTGTCCAGCATGACTCGGTCGTTTGATTTCCGCAAACTTTGCCAGCCACTAAACAATGACACCTTCTTCATTCCTACGGTTCAGTATGCACGAATGAAAGATTATCACAAAAAGTTGACCAACTCTGTGAAAGCTCTTCGTGAGATGAAGTACACCTCCGGACACAAGGCTGCCGTTGAGCAGTTGTTCATTCTGGCAACGTGTCCCTATGAATCGGTTCGCAAGTCAGCCAATTGGCCTCTGATGAAACTGTTGCGAATCTTCCCCCAGTCCGTTGAGTTGATTGTGCCTGATATGTTGTTCCACTTGCAGGNCTGCCGTTGAGCAGTTGTTCATTCTGGCAACGTGTCCCTATGAATCGGTTCGCAAGTCAGCCAATTGGCCTCTGATGAAATTGTTGCGAATCTTCCCTCAGTCTGTTGAGTTGATTGTTCCTCATATGTTGTTCCACTTGAAGAACAGTGATCAGAAAAACTCATTTGAAGGCTCACTGTCAGTGCTGATAGGAAGTATTGTCGACTCGATGCTGATTCATCCCCCTCATTCGTCAGTCTATCAACTATGGCCTCAGCTTTTAAAAACAAACTTTGAAGCCGTTCCCAAACTTGCTGAAACGATTGACTATGAAAAGTTTTCGTTGATATCAATGATCTATATTACGATTCCCATCAAGCGAAACCTCATGAAAAATGACTTTTTATCTCTCTTTGAAAAAGCGAAACAAGCAAATTTTTTGCTTGTATCAAGTGAAGAAATGAAGGTGATTGAATTGGTTATTAATCAGTGGAATGAGAAAAGCCAGAACCTGTACAATGACCTCATTCAGCAAATTTGTGTGACGTTAAAAGAACACAAGCTGCAGTTTCGCATGCAAACTCTGGGTACTTTTCTCTTGAATCTGCTCATTCGCCCTGATCAGTTACCGCCAGAGAATATGATATCGTACTTCCTTGATGCTTTAATCCACGATTCGATTCACGTACGGCGAACTGCGGTTATGGGCCTAAAGAAGATTCTCTTTCTCAATCGAGCACCAAAGGAAACGGTGCAGGTGCAATACAAGGCCGGTGATTTTCAAATGGACGTTTACGCCAGCGAAGAAGTCTACAACAGCACACAATTTCATGATAAGGCTCATGCTGGCTACTTTGAAGGTGCATACACAGCAAGGAAAATAAGCAAAGTCCCAGTGTCAACTAACGGCTTTATTGCGGAGAAGTTCAAAGATAAGCAGTACCTTGATCGACTTTTTGAACTATTTTCAGTGGAAAATGCTACTGCTATTGACTTTGAGTTTGTGAAGATCTGGAAGTACCTTTACCAATCGTTTGAGCTGATTAACGACGAGCTGGTTTTCCCACACATTGAAAAGCTACTGGAAGTGGACAAGCACAGCCATGATAAGTTAGCCATTGAGGTTTTGATTGGCTTAGCAAATGCATTGCCGGTGCTGAACTATGTCGATGCTTTCAAAGTGGTTCAGTTTATAAGCACAATTTGCAAAAAACATCTGGTGAAGTTTAACTCCGAGTCATCAGATCTCTGGATCATTTTTGTATCAAAAGTTTTCAACGGTCGCGATCTTCGACGAAACAAATTTCTGCTGAAACAACTTTTTGACTCAACTTTTCATGATTCCACCCTTTCGCCTTATTATCAAACTTCATTTATCCAGTTTTTAGCTTCTGGATGTTCATATAACTTTAAATATCCAGAAATCAATCAAGAAGCTTTGTCTAAGCTTGAAGAGAATTTGAGTCATCCATATCAAAATGTGCGAATTGCTATTGCCCAGTAAGTTCTTTTTAAAAGTTGACCAACAGATATCTTATATTTTTCTTTTTTAGTCTTTTATCTATTTTATTCCCAGATAAGGTGGGAGTACAACAAACTGGCCCTCAAAAGAACAGTCGATTGGTTTTTGTTCAGCATGTGGTATCCAAGTTTGAAAAGGCTATGCTCCCGCTATTTTCCAATGATGAAACCAGTTCTAACATGGCAGTAATTAAAAGTGAAATTTTTAACCAAGACTTGGTGGAAGGAAAGCAACTGCTCAATTTCATTGAAACTATCTCCTCTTGGATCACATATAGCCTGGACTCAAACAAACTGATCAATCCTGGAGATTTTATTCCCCTCTTTCCGTATTTGTGCTCAGTGCAATTGGCTCAATCGAGCAACTCGCAGGTGCAGCACAAAGTGAAACGTGCAATTGAACTGATGGGCAAGATAAGCTACAGCGAGGCAGAGATTGATGTGGTTTTTCAGATGGTTGAGAAGGTAGTACCAAGGCTCGTGGCTATTTAGTTGTTAACAAACTGTCCTCTTCTTTAGGTTGCAAGTAATTGGAACTGGCGCTGTCGCAATCAAGTGCCCATCTTCTTGCAGCACTTTCTCTACTCGAACATCTTTGCCTTGTCGCGCAATGATCGTTCAGTGGACCGACTAGTGGGAGTACTGAACCGTCTATTGGAAGATGAAGTGGTGGAGGTGCGAGAATCAGCCTCAATCACTCTCAGCAGTCTTCTCATTTGGAATGTCGTCCAAGGGAGCAGACTGACTCAACTGGTGGAGCAGTTTAAGAGCAAGTCGGCAGGAGTGGCAGCCAATGGCGGTGAGGTGCTGGGAAAGCACAGTGCTGTGCTCGGATTGTGCGCCTTTCTCTACGCTTGCCCGGACGATTTGCCCGCTCATCTGCCTGATATTTTACTCTTTCTCACAACGCACATGTCAGCTCCGCAGCCGATTCCGGTAAGCAACTGCTTGCTCCAGACGTTTTGCAGCCTCATGAAATGCTCTAACAAATGCTCTGTTTATGTTTCAGAAATCCATCACCAAAGCTTTCAACTCTTTCAAGCGCTTTCACTTGCCGAACTGGGTAGTGTACAAGCGACAGTTCACCAGCGACCAGCTAAATGAGCTGAACAACATTTTTATTTCTCATTCCTACTACGCCTGAATTGGCAAACCAGATTTTACTTGGCACCTAATCGCTGTCTCGGCATTCTGTCTGCCAACACTATGAATTGTTTGCTGCCTTACTTCTGTCACTCGAGCTTTGTGTCAACTTTTCCGACACTAATCGGGCACTTTGTAGACATTTAAAGACTCATTAAAACGGGCACTAGGCTTTAAAACGTCGCTTTGCACACATGTGCTCTAGCCGACTCGCCCACGAAGCGGGGGCACGGATTGTGCATCTGTCGTTACGCTGTTTTATGTCGGCTTGAAGATGAAAAATTCAAATTGATTCTCAGTAAAAGCTGGCACAGATCTCTTTTGGCTTACATCACCGCGCACGGTGTACGGAACCAGTGAGTGTGTACATTTTGTACTGCACTTCTCTCTCTTGGCAGTGGTCCGACTGAAACGAGAGATCGGGAGGCAGGCAGGAAAAGTGACACCGCCGACACGAACTGGCAGTTAGCGAGAGCGAACCAGTCACTCATGGTACAGTCATTAATGTACAATACATTCGAGACTCTTTGTTCAGCCAGTGAAGAGAATCGAGCCATTCATCAGTGACTGCTAGCGGTGTTTGGCCGTCAGTCTTGTCGCCGTCTGCTCGATTTTCATTATCTGCCCCAGACAAAGAAACTTTTAAACTATTCGACATTGAGCGTTTAATGCCATGTGACTGGCGACAGGAGTCTGCTTGCCAAATAGTCGATTGGAATGGCATTACATCAAAGAGGTGGTGGTTACGTCTGGGGGAGAAAGAGAGGTCTTTAGGTTCGAGTGAATTTATGGAGCAACATATGCAGAGGAGATGGTAGATTAGGTGCGCTCAGATTTGGCGAACAGACACACTGACAGTGCAGTGAGTGCAGTGAGCTGAAAGCGCCACCGTCCTGTAGCTTCAGTTTACGTCGCGTAATGAGTGAGGAGAGTACAGAGTGAGCCGTCACGCCATGCAAGCCACTGCTCCCGTCTGCTGTACCCGCATTCAGCCGTCTCCACAACTATATTTCCCTCTTCCCTCATTGCCCGCCGTCACCGCCGCCGAGTTCCCGAGAGCGAGTAGTCGTCGGTATCACTGACAACACTCCAGTACAGCACTCTTCTCTTCACATCACATCTGGTCTTTATATAAGGTTCGACGTAACCAGCAGAACCGTAAGTGTCAATGTGATTCACAGGCCGACAGACAGTCGTGCTCTCCACTTTCCCTCTGCCTCAGTTGCTATCAGTTGTCTACATTTATTCTGTTGTACTTTACTCTTGACTTTTTTCCACGGCTCCTCTTCTTCAATGCTCCTGCCTCGCATTCTAATGTGGTGGATCGAGAAGATGTTAAATCGAGCCCTCTTTGACACCCTCGTCAATAAGCTGTCAACATTTTTCAATGCCCTCAAACCGG